TAAATTTCATGACTTCATCTTTTCTAAGAGCTACATAGTACTCCATTGTGTAGATGTACCAAAGTTTCTTTAACCAGTCATCTGTTCTTGGGCATTCAGGTTTCTTCCAGTTTCTGGCTATTGTAAAGAGGGCTGCAATGAACAAACAAGTGCAGATGTCACTTCGACTATACATTTTTGCCTCTCTGGGATATATTCCCAGGAGTGGTATTGCTGGGTCAAATGGGAGCTCAATTTCTAATTTTTTGAGAATCGTCCATACTGTTTTCCAGAAGGGCTGAACAAGTGGACATTCCCACCAACAGTGAAGGAGTGTCCCTTTCTCGCCACATCCACGCCAGCATCGGTTGCTTTTGTTCTTTTGAATTTGGGCCAGTCTCTGAGGTGTGAGATGGTATCTCATTGTGGTTTTGATCTGCATCTCCCTGATGATTAATGATGTAGAGCATTTTCTCATGTGCTTTTTTGCCATTCGGATTTCTTCTTTGAGAAAGTTTCTGTTCATTTCATTGCCCCATTTTTGGATGGGGTTGGATGTTTTCTTCTTGTGGAGTTTAACCAGTATTTTGTATATCCTGGATATCAACCCCTTGTCAGATGACATTGAAGCTAATGGTATCTTCAAAGATGCCACGCCACTGGCCGAGCAAGTGAAAACAGAGATAGATAAATGGGACTATCTTAAACTAAGAAGCTTCTGCACCTCCAAAGAAACAGTGACCAAAATACAAAGACAGTCTACAGAATGGGAAAGGATATTCACCGAATACACATCTGACAAGGGCCTGTGAAGATTTTTAAATTTTGATATTATTGTTGTGCCTAGAGTGGAATGGAGCAGTGAAACCATGAATTGATGATGTGATTTGTTTTAACCAGAAAAACAGAGATCTATTTCAATTACATTTAAGAACATTTCTAGTTCAAATATACCTATAAGAAAATAAAATGGGTCTAGAGAGATAAAGCAGTGGGTGGGTAGGGCTCTTGCCTTGCATATCACTCACTGAAACTTGATTCCTGGCACCCCACCCCACATGGTCCTTTGAGCCCCACTAGGAGTGATCCCTGAGTGCTACTAGGTATGGTTCACCAAAAAAAAAAAGAAAAGAAAAAAAGAGGAGGAGGAGGAGGAGAAGGAGGAGGAGAAGGAGGAGGAGGAGAAGGAGGAAGAAGAAGAAGAAGAAGAAGAAGAAGAAGAAGAAGAAGAAGAAGAAGAAGAAGAAGAAGAGGAGGAGGAGGAGGAGGAGGACAAAGAAGGAGGAAGAAGAGAGGGAAGAGAAGGAGAAAAAGAAGGAGGAGGAGAAGCAAAAGGAGGAGGAGGAGAAGGAAGGGAGAAGAAGCAGAAGAAGGAGGAGGAGAACAAGGAGGAGAAGGAGGAGGAGGAGACAGAGGAGGAGGAGGAGAAAGGAAAAAGGAAGAGGCGAAATGAATAGAATACCTTGTGGGATGAATGGCCGTTTCTTAGACATGACCTTTGTTTCTTCTCTGCACAGGTTTGAGTTAGATCTCCACAAATTACATTGCATTGCTGGCAGAGTCTAGTACTCAATGGTACTTTATATATTTTTTGTTCATCAATCCCTGATCCTTGGTATTTTTGAGTTTTCACATAACTGTAAGTGAACTTTTAACGTCTTTCTTGTAGTATGTTGAGGTACCACTTTGTACTGCGTGTGTGCTTTTAAAATAGGAACTACAACCAGCACCATCACCAGAGCTATTTTTCCCTCGGGCACTGTGTTTTCTTGTGGCTTGTATACCCTTATAAGTCTGGAGTTGTGATGTAGTACCTTGGGAGATGTTGTGCTCTGCCTTTATAGAAGGCAAACACAACTTTAGGCTTCCTATCACCCAAGAGAGTTTTATAGTTTGGCTTGTGATCACTGTGGAAGAGAAAGCGTTCTGAGCTCCTAGCCCTGGGACTCCATATGGTCCCTACTCTGCCACGTCTAATGATTTAGTCTGCAGCGATCACACAGCCTCTCTGCATCTCAGATAATCAATCAGCAAAGTGTCTGGATTTGATTAAGTAAGTCCAGGGTTTTTCCAGTGCTCCACAGATTTTAAAAGTCTGTCCACTGTCTCCAGGATGGTCAGAATGAAGTGTGTTTCTTTTTATTTTCTTTTTAATTTTTATTAGTGAAACACCATGAGGTACAGTCGTAGATGTACAATTTTTTGTGTTTGGATTTCAATTATACAATGATCAAATACCCATCCCTCTACCAGTGCCCATTTTCTACCACCACGGGTCCCAGTATCCCTCCCCCCCCATTCCACCCTGCCTCTGTGGCAGGGCATTCCCTTTTGTTTTCTCTCTCTCCTTTTGGGTGTTGTGGTTTGCAAAAGAGGCATTGAGTGGCAACCATGTTTGATCTATAGTCTACTTTCAGCATGCTTCTCTCATCCTGGGAGCATCCTCCCAACACCCTTTATTTGGGTGCTCCCTTCTCTATCTGAGCTCCCTTTTCCCCTAGAATGTGTGGCTGGCCTCCAAGCCATGAAGCAAACCTCCTGGTGCTAATCTCGGCCACTCTTGGGTGTTAGTCTCCTATTTTGTTACTTTATGTTCCCCAGATGAATGCAATCTTTCTAAGTCTGTCCCTCTCTTTCTGACTCATTTCACTTAACATGATACTTTCCATGTAGTACCACTTGTATGTAAATTTCATGACTTCATCTTTTCTAACAGCTACATAGTACTCCATAGTGTAAATGTACCAAAGTTTCTTTAATCAGTCATCTGTTCTCGGGCACTCAGGTTTTTTCCAGATTCTGGCTATTGCAAAGAGTGCTGCAATGAACAAACAAGTGCAGATGTCACAAAGTGTGTTTCTTTATTTAAAAGCCGCTTGCCGACGAGTGGCAAAGAGCTTGTTCTCGTGCCACACATCCTTCACTTTCAAACGCCAGCCCCACTCCATGGATGTGTGCTAAAAGACCCCCGAACCTTCCAAACTCTCCGACTTCTGTATAAAGAAGTGAGATAAAAATCCTACCTAGCGCACGGAGCTGTTTTTAAAGTATAATAAGATAATTTGTGAGAGAATTTTGCTCCAGGACCATACAAAAGGCAATCAGTATTCTTGTTATTGTTGATTTCTTGAGAGCAGGTATTCTCCCATGCCTACAGCTCAGCCTTGCTCATTTGTTTGTTTCAGAGCTGGAGAAATAAGAGGTAGGGCAGTTGCTTTGCATGGAGGTAGCCCTGGTTTGATCCCCAGCATCACATATGATCCCCCAAGCACCACCAGGGGTCACGTCTGAGCACAAAGCCAGGAATAGCCTCTGAGCACCACTGGTCATGTGGCCTACCTGTCACCCCACCTGAAAGCCAAAGAATAAGTTTTTTATTTCAAACATGGGTCTGGAGCGAAAGCACAGCAGTAGGGTGTTTGCCTTGCGTGCAGCCAGCCCGGCCGAGCCGGGTTCGATTCCTCCACCCCTCTCGGAGAGCCCGGCAAGCTACCAAGAGTATCTTGCCCACATGGCAAAGCCTGGCAAGCTCCCCGTGATGTATTCGATATGCCAAACACAGTAACAAGAAGTCTCACAATGGAGACGTTAATGGGCCCGCTTGAGCAAAAAATCGATGAACAACGGGAGTACAGAGTTTGTTTGTTTCAAAAATAGAAACTAGGCAGTTTTATGTTGAATACTGTGTAGTAAATGTAATGTAAGGTATTCTTTCCAAATTTAAGAAGCAGGTTTCATAGAATGAAACGAATGCATTGTTTAGCAACTTACCGAAGGAAGCAGCAAGATGACAAAACTGTTGGAATAGTAAAAGAAAATGATTATGAAATTAATACTGAAATAACTGATTTTTGTGTTTTGTTTTGTTTTGTTTTTTGAGGGGCCACACCCATCAGTGCACAGGGCTTACTCCTGGCTCTGCACCCATAGATCACTCTTGGCAGGCTCGGGAGACCAGATGGGGTGCCAGGCATCTGGGCCAGCCATGTGCCAGAAATCACCCTATTTGCTGTATACTGCTCCAAGCCCTAAAATTTTTTTTCTGCATTTGACAAAAGTTGTGTAATGCTCATGGAGGAATAAAACCATTATCTTTTACAGTAATCTTGACATTTGCTTTTCTACAGGATAGAAATCATTGCTTATTGTTAAACAGTTCTTAGATAGGCCTGTGAAACTGGACGACATTATAAGGATATGAATATTTCTTATTATTTCCTAGTTTGCGGTAACTCTTCTAAAAAAGCCATAATAAGACTAAACCCTAAATTTTATTTAACTAAAAATATGAAATATGAATATGATCCTAGCAAAAAAGTATCTATTTTCTGTCTAGTTGTGTAATAGGAACCAGGAGGTTCGTCATCCATAATTATGTTTCCATAATGTTTCATTAAGGGAAATATAGGGACATTTAGCAAAACACTACTAATTTCTAAGATGATACCATGGAGGCTAACCATTTAATGAGTACCTGCATAGACCAAGCACCTTATTAAGAACTTCATATACATTTTGATTTGGTTTATAAACAATCTTATGAAGTAAGTATTATTATCTCCATTTTGAAAATCAGGTAAATGAGTCAGTGAGGTTGAACAATTTCATCAAGATTACAGAGCCAGTCTGAAACGGACTTGAAATTCAGTCTGACGCAGTCTGACTTGGAGTCTTAGAATCTCTCCCATGCCCTATATTACAGACCTAGCTCAATTTGAAACTTTCCTAAATGTTAAAGCCAATCTCTACTTTTATTTTTCCATGGTTTTTTTTTTTTTTTTTTTTTTTTTTTTTGCTTCTAAGATAGACCATGCATCGAAAGGATCCTTTCCTTCTAAGCCATTTGGAAACCACCTGAACTAACTGACCTTTTCTGTTTCCTGGCCATGAGATTAAAACGTATGTTTGAAAGTGAGAGGAAGCCAGTCCCTGGAGCTTCGGCCGCCACCTCCTCCACTCGGGCTGTCTTCTCTGTAACTTATCTCTTTCTTCTCTCTCTTCTGGCCCCCATATGCTCGTAGGTGGGGTGGATCCTCTCTATCCTGGATGAACTGCAGCTGAGCCCTCAGCCTCCGGTTGGGGTCCTTCCTCTGGGAACTGGGAATGACCTGGCTCGAACTCTCAACTGGGGAGGGGTAAGATCTGCTCTTGGGGGCAGGGGGGCTGCCATGTCATCCAGCAACAGGGTCCCCAGATCCACACCTGTTCAGACTGCAGGAGAATATACTTCATTAGGGCAAAAAATGTTAGATTTGTGAATCAGCATCCCCAGGCACCATCATTTTACCAGCTCATCCCATGCAGTGAAGCTTAACAGTCAGCAGGAGGAGAAGGGAAAGTTTGAAGTAGAAAACAAAGAGGAGAGGATTAAAACACAGCCTGGGACTATCTGGTTTGGGTGAATGGGCTTCAAGTGTTAGTATACAAATCTTAGGAAGACTTCAGTTGAATCTGACTTGAAGCTTTGGGCAGAATAGCAAATCTGGTTCCGATTTATAGTTTTCCTTTGGGAGAAATTTGTTGGACATTTGATTTTTCTGGTCAGTATCATCATGATCTCATCAGAAGAGGAAACTGATGGTCTCTCTAGCATGGAGCCAGCTTCAGGAAAGCAGAATTAATGAACACAGATCTTCTGTAACAGCCGTGTTTTTAGTAGTACTGAGATCAAAAGAAGGTACTATATCCAAGTATATGAACTTCACCAGCTTTTTATCTGCTAGTATGAAATCATCAATTGGACTGGCTTTCTTGAAAGTCATCTTCAGACCTTGCATATGATAATTAGAAGTTTGTTTCAGTTCACTTCCCGTAGGTGAAAGTTATTTCCAGATCTCAGTTTAATTGACCAGCTATAGCTTTTTGTTTTAAGTAAGTATAGTATAAATAATGAAATATTTATCTGAAGCAACCAGTATACTGCCAGTGTTAATTTGACATCCTATGATTCAGATCAATGATGTCAACATCTTCAATAATCATGGTGTTAATAATGAATCCTCAAAGGGTAGGTAACTCCCTAACAGAGAAATTCCTAAGAAGTTGCTTGCTTTATGATATGGAAGACATTGTGTCCTGTTCCAAGCTTAAGGAGAGGTGATTGAGATGGACTGTTAATAGAACAAATTGTCTATCCAATGATGCCCTCTTTTCTACAAGTCCTGTTTATCCCTCAATTCTGCCAGTAAAACCCTACAGAGTCCTGTTGTGATTCCTAAAATGTAGCGTTTCATCATGGCCCTTCATAATCCAACATGACAGACCAGTAGTTCTTGGTGTCTGGTGCTGGAAAAATTATTTTTAAGCTCATACCTGCTAAGACTAGCATTTCTGTATACATAGCCTATCACTGTTGTCTTAAATTCTAAGTACCTCCAGCAAACAGTGTGGTCTCTTAGTTTTGCTAATTCTGCTATGAAGAGCTCTAGCAGGGGGACACATCCTTGTAGGCAATAGCCCTGATGACAGTGTGCTACTCCAGACATCAGTGGCTGTGTTCTTTGATTCCTCAGGGCTACACAGATGAACCTGTTTCTAAGATCCTTTGCCAAGTAGAAGACGGGACAATTGTACAGCTCGATCGTTGGAACCTCCATGTGGAAAGAAACCCTGACCTGCCTCCAGAAGAACTTGAAGATGGCGTATGTAAGGTTAGAGAACCATTGCTCCAATAGAAAGAATCCTGAGCCATTGGAAGTACATTCATGGCTCTGGAGTCATGTGTTATGAGATAACAGGGTTGTCTTTGAGTTTCTGGCTACCAGGGCTCTGCATGTAATGTCCCAGTGATACAATTCCAGATTTTTCTAAAGACCAAAGCTTTTCACCTACTTTTCCAGAGTTTAAGAAGCCTTATGCTTATGTCTTTAGCTTCCATACCAGATAGATCTTTCAAGTTCATGGCAAAAGTCAACCTATGAGAAAATAAGGATGTAGATGTTCCCAAGTATTGGGCCTAAGCTTTAGTAACAAGATAATTTCATGAGATTTCTGTTCTGACACTAAATATTATTTGTGATTAGGAAGCACTTTTTCTTTTTATTGATTTTTATTTAAATCACTGTGTTTACAAAGTTGTAAATGCAGTTGTTTCAACCATTTTGTGTTCCAACACCACCAGTATGACTTAAGAAGCATTAGTAAATCCGTTTCTTCACTTGGTTGGCACTGAAGATGCCCCAATAAGTGCTCTGAATTAATATTTTCTTTTCAGTAAATGAACTTTGGAATTGCCTCTGACTATTGTCTTAAGTTTCAACTATAATAAAGGAAACAGTGGAAACTTAGTCTTGCTAATGCTAATTTCAAAATAAGCAGAGAAATATAACAAAAGGGCTCTTGTAAAAAATAGCTTTGAGCATCCAACTCACTGTTCCAAGGAGTAATGGGTGTGTCCTTTGATTCATCGGAACTACACTAATGATTCCTCAAGGCTAAATTTTTATTTCAGTTCCACTCAAGACAAAGGGGACTGAGTGATACATAGATTTATGTAGAGCTTCAGTGGAACATTTCTCCCCCTAAGTCCTGGCTTCAATTTCAGATAAATGTAATAGGTTTCTGAGTAACTGTTTCCTACAAAATCATATTCCACAATAGTGTTTTCAAACTTTGGTAGGCATAATAATTTCCAGGTGTACCTTACAGTGCGAGGCCCCAGATTCTACTAAGTAAATGCAGGGTTGAGCCATAGTATCTGTGCTTTAAATGTCGTACCTGTTGGATTAGATTATGACACTGACTAAGGTCAAGGTTTCATAGATATTTCAACCTTAACATTTAATATTGTTGATTAAACCAACTCCCATTTATTCATTGGCTCTATGAATCCCAACCAATGTGGAAGACATTCACATTTTTTATTTGGATAAAATAGAATTAAACTGATTTTGTCTTTTTTTGTTAGTCATTTGGGGGCTACAACTGATGGTGTTCAGGTCTTACTCCTGGCTTTGTGCTCAATGATCACTACTGGCTCTATTCAAGGAACATATGTGGTTACCAGGGATTGAATTTGGGTAGGCTGTGTGCAAGACAAGTGCCTTATCCATTGTACTATCTCTTGGGCCTCTAAATTTATTTTGTCTTATCTTCATCTGCCTGCCTCCTGCTACAGCTTACATTGTGACCTAGAAATTGTAAGTTGTCCACTTAATATCATGATCACTCAGTTGATCTTGAATTTCTAAGACCACAATGTTTTATCAAGTACCATCTTAGAATCTACATATTTCTAACATATTCAACTAACAAAATGTTGGTTAGAAAGCAGTCAAAAGTAGAAAGAAGTGTTCCATATGGAAATTTTAGGGCCTTTTCCTCACCCCACTTAGAATGAATGGTTAGGTCCTCAATTGGAATCTATATTTAATTCTCTTTCTAACTGCTTAAGAAATGGAAAAACTTCTTGAAGCTGCCAGGAGCATTAATCCAGATAATTAAAGGGCTTTGAAAAATGGAATTTTGAGAAGATGTGTAGGAAATCAGGGCAATTTTTTTCCTGGAAAATATGAATAAGAACTTAATAACAGACTAAGTGGGGATATTATTTAGGGAATAGTGACCAGATGTTCTCTTTAGTTATCAGTGGATGCTGAGACATGGGTTAGAAATGCAGCCAAAAAAACATAAATGGTAGAAGCGAACCTATTTGGGCTTTTGGCAGGCTCGCCTGTCCTTGATGTCATTACTAAGAACTGGTGTTTTGTGTAAGTACAGGAACTGGACATTCTCAAATATGAAGCCAGGAGAGAGACATGATTTTGGCATTGATCTCTGCATTTAGTTTCTTTCCCTTTTCTCCAGTCAGTTATAGATGTTTCTAAGCACTTATTCGACTTTCCTGTTCATAAGCTCTGACACTCAGGTCTTTCAATTCTCCATTTTCCTGAGAAAAAAAGATAATTCAGTTTATTTCTTTCTGAATTAATCTGCCTTGCTCTCTCTTAATCTCATTTCTTTCTCCTTAATGGAACACTTATTATTTTGGTCAAATAGGAAATATTACTGATCAAGGGACATAGGATTGAACATATATAATAAATTAACTTTTGAAGTCTTTTTAAAAAATTTATTTATTATTTATTGGCTTTTGGGGTCCCACCCGGCGATGCTCAGGGGTTACTCCTGGCTCTGCACTCAGGAATCACTCCTGGTCATGCTCAGGTGACCATATGGAGTGCCGGGCATCAAACCTAGGTCACCTGCATGAAAGGTAAATGCCCAACTTGCTGTACTGTCAGTCCAGCCCCTACTTTTGAAATCTTGAGGGTGAACTACTTTTTTTAGTTTTGTAGTGCCAAATATCAAACCCAGGTCTCATGCATGCGAGGCCTGTACTTGACTGTTGAGCAGACACTATCTTTAGTAGAAGAGCAGACACTTATCTTTAGTAGAAGAGTGTCTTTCTATCTGGAGATAAATCTGATTATGATTTGGAAACATTATACAAGCAAATATAAAATTATCTCTCTAGTTACAGAAAGAAATGGAAAAACCAACATCTCTCTCCTATTATATCCAATCTGCTTTTTTCAGTTGTTCTAACATTGAACTGAGTCATAGAAGTCACATCAGTTTTGCCATTTGAAAGCAAGATTTCAGATGCTGATTTTTTTTTTCTTTTAGTCACCTCATAAGAGGGCATTAGGAAGGAAAGCTAAGACTTAAATTTGGATATTTAGCAGTCTTATTGAACAGACAGGTTTTGTTAGATTATGTAGGAATGTGAATAATACTGATACAGTTTTCCTTTCCTCCCTACATTGAGAGTAGCTGAATTGCTGCCAAATTCTTATTGCTTATATGAATCCCGCCCCCACTCCAAAAAAAAAAGTTTGAAAACAGGTGGAGTACGCCCATCAAATACTCGTTTTGAGCTGCAACATTAAAATATGAACAGAAATCCTCAGTGAAAATAGATATACTGATATAGTAGATTGGACATAATCTTGTCATTGAATTTACTTCGTAAAGTTGCTTACTCTCATTCTTTGTGTTACTGATGACATCTCTTAGCTTAATATAGTTCTTTAGTATATAAATAATTTCTATTGCTCTTCCTGATTTCTTAAATTATTTAAAAGTCTTGGTTATTATCTGACTAGAGGTTTCCTAGTGAGTGAATTGTGTCAAATGTCAGTTCCTGTATGGGAACACCTTCCACCCCAACTTTGTCTCAAGGGACTTCTTGCTCCCAAGGACTTACCACAGGGACAGGTGTCTGACTTGAGGCTCGATTGCTCTCTTTCTGCCCCAGCAATGCATCAGTTGACCTTGGCCTTTGTGTTCATCATTGCAGCTCCCCCTGAATGTTTTCAATAATTACTTCAGCCTTGGATTTGATGCCCACGTCACACTGGAGTTCCATGAATCCAGAGGTGAGGACAGCGTCCCATTTCCATCTCCCAGGGAGGGAGTTTCCAGCAGGTGTTTTGCATGTTCCCTTCTGTTTGCCTATCACTTGGGTGTTGATGGTGTTTGTCAGTGTTGTTTCGTTTTAATCTTCAGGGTGACCCAGGTAGCTGGACATGACAGGGACTTCTTGCAAAATGGGATTTGGAGACGTAGCTGTTTAAAGTCTCTGAAATGGTAGAGAGGAACAGATACATCAACACTAGGTCTCTGCTTCCTCCTAATTGGACAGAAATGGTGAAGTTAGTGAAATACTGAGTTAAAAAACAAAAGTATCCCCCTCCCCCCCTCCAAAAAAAAAGACATGTCATTGAGATACTCATGGCTTCTTGAACAACAAATAATTAAATTTCAAAACTTTATAGCCAAGGTCACTAAAATCTGGAAGAAAAATCACACAGTCAATCCTGAGTGTGATAAAGGGGGACTTAAAGCATCTTGGAGTAACAGAGAAGTGATTGGTGATTCTGGTTTCCGGAAAAGATTTGACGGGAATTGGGTTGGGGTCGGAATGGAGTTCTATCTCGTCTTGGTGTATCACTGAGGATGGGTGAGACTCTGAGATAATTCCCAGTGTTAAGAGATGGAGTGAAGGTTGTAGGTAAAGATTTTTTTAACGCAATTTCTCTCAAACTGTCTTCTTGTTACTATGTTTATACATGTATCCGTGACTGTTTTCTACCTATTTCCTTATGAATACGTTACTATGTAATCCAAATAATGCTAGGCTTTATATTATTTCATTTTTATCTTTATCTTAGTTTATTTTTTAGATAAATCTCACAAGTGAGGGAAGATTTTCATTTTTTCCTTCTAGCTACTATACGATTAAATATACATGGTTTTAGCAGTAATATTTACAATGTGAGTTTTCAAGGCTAAATTTCAAATGATTAGATTCCAATAATGTCCAGAAAAAAATCTGCAGACACTTTTATGAACATAGACTGAGGATCAGAACTAGAAGGTTGAGGTTCTTAGAGTACAAAATAAAGTGAGCTTTGAACATATAATTCTCTTAAATTGAGTTATTCACTTTGGTAGACGTCAGCAGTCAAGATTTCTGAGGTTTGGTACTTAATGCTGTGCCAGACAAAAGTAATAGTGAAAAGGAGGGAGAGCACAAAAGGGAATGCCCTAAAACAGGGGCGGGGTGGGATGGGGGGATGGGAGGTTGGGAGGGATACTGGGATTATTGGTGGTGAAGAATGGGCACTGGTGGAGGGGATGGGTACTCAATCATTGTATATCTGAAACCCAACCACAAAAATTTGTAAGTCTACAACTGTACCTCATGGTGTTTCACTAATAAAAATTTTAAAAAATAAATTTAATAAGAAATCAAAAAAATAAATAAAAATAAAAAGCAATAGTGACTGAAGAAAGGGTTATAATTTGGCCTTTCTTTCTAACACTCATTACGTTGCAAATAAAGGCTGATTGTTAACGAAGCATGAAATATCAAATACCCATATTAGAAATATCACCTCACACTCCCCACCTCCCTGGCAAGGATGTGTACTAAAAACTCAGAGGGTATTACACTGAGGTCAATGTTTATAAGCTGCTACTCTTCATGCAAGTAAGGAAAATCAGTTTGGAGAAATAGTGAAGATTGGTATTCATTTTATTACCCAATTTTCTTTTTTGTATTCATCATCAAACTTTGGGATCTGGGATTCTTAACAAAAATTCTTAAGTTTCTTAATAATACTTGCAAAGTAATACAATTATTCCTAGTGTGTGAAGCTCCCAAAATAGACATTCTGGCATGAAAAGAAACCTAAGTGAGTAATAAGTCGCAAAAAAAATGTAGCTCATTCAAGGGAGCCTAATATTTTGTCTAATTAATTTGAAAGTATTCTTAATGATTCATTTCCTTGTTCTCAAAATTTCCATGCCTTCAAGTGAAAGGTGATCAGAAAGATATCAACATAGAGAAACCAGGTCTAGAAGAGAATTTTTGTGCAATAGTGAATTTAAAAAATTTTAAAATATACTCATTGTGGTGTGTGTATGTGTATGTGTGTGTATTGTTTTATATGTATGTGATTATAAAAAAGAAAAAAACTGTTAAAATATACCAAACATTATGCTTTTTCTGTTTTATTGCTGAGGCTTGGTACATATCCTTTAATGTGATTTTAAGACATGAATTTGCCCAACAGGTTAGGCAGAGCCATGCTGAAAGTAGACTATAGACCAAACATGATTGTCACTCAATGCCTCTTTTGCAAACCACAACACCCAATAAGAGAGAGAGAACAAAAGGGAATGCCCTGCCACAGAGGCAGAGTGGGATAGGGGAGATGGGGGATGAGAGGGATACTGGGATCAGTGGTGGTGGAGAATGGGCACTAGTGGAGGGATGGGTATTTGATCATCGTATAATTGAAACCCAAGCACAAAAATTTGTAAGTCTACAACTGTACCTCATAATGTCTCACTAATAAAAATTTAAAAAAATATACAAACAAACAAGCTACCAAAGAGCTGATATGGGAGAATTGATAGTGATTAGGGTAATAGAGTATTCAAGAAAATCAATAAAGGTGGTAAAAGATAAACAACACAGAGTAGTGGGACTATTTTTGTTTGGTTCATATAGACCAGAAGACCAGAAGTACAGACTTTTTGTATCTGCATATCTATACCTTTTATATTAAGTAAAAACAATTCTTTATGGTAAAAAAGTATAGATGCTGGGGCTAATATTTTTGTGTGTTTGAATTTAGACCACAACTACACTGCTCAGGGCTTACACTGGCTGTGTGTTCAGGGATCTCTCCCAGCAGGGCTCAGGGTACCATATGGGGCACCAGGGACCGAACCTGGATTGGCTGCCTACAAGGCAAGACCACTGTACTCTTACTCTGTCTCTGATATTCTTCTTAAAAACTTAATCTTTTGTGTGGTTAGTTATTCAAGAAATACAAAGCTCCATTGCAGAAGGGAAATAAAGATAGAAAGATCACATTACCAATAAGAGTTTATTATTTTTATTATTATTACTAGTAGTATTAGCTAGAGCAATAGCCAGTGGGTAGGGCATTTGCCTTGCATGTGGCCGACCCCGGTTTGATCCCTCCCTCCCTCTTGGAGAGCCCGGTATCCTGCCGCATGGCAGAGCCTGGCAAGCAAGCTCCCCGTGGCATATTTGATATGCCAAAAACAACAACCACAAGTCTCACAATGGAGATGTTACTGGTGCCTGCTTGAGCAAATCGAAGAACAATGGGAAGACAGTGCTACAGTGCTATAGTAGTATTAGTAGATAATGACTTTACTCAGGTCAACAAGTTTTATAGTTGAAACTTAATCACTTAATCACTTAACTTCCCGTTAGTCGTCGATTTGCTCGAGCGGGTGCCAGTAACGTCTCCATTTGTCCCTGTCGCGTGCTAGTGTAGCCGAATGGCATCTGTTCGCTCCGGGAACATGAAGGGCCTCAAACCGATCGTTCATGATCTTGACGAAGAAGTCTGACCATCTGGTAGGTGGGCGGCCACGCGGTCTTTTGACATCCCGTGGAATCCAGTCGGTAACAGCTCTAGTCCAGCGGTCGTCTTTAAATCTCATTACGTGACCAGCCCATCTGATTAATAACTTAATAACAATCAAATATAGCCCTTCACAGTTTGAAACTGCATGGCAAATTCTGTTATCATTTACCATAAAATACTTAAAGGGTGATGACTAAGAACCATCTACAAAATGAATTGGGCTTTAATAAAACAACCTATTATCTAATAGTTAAGTTAATGCATGGGATTTCACTTAGGCAGAATAGTTAGAAATTTAATTGTAATGTGAGGTTTTGGCCTAGACATTAAATACTCACATTGGCATGAGACAAATGAAGATTTTTTCATTACTCCTTAAACTACTTTTTTTGAAGAAGGGACAATTAGGCTGATATTCTTTGAGGCAGTTTATTGGTAGGTAAATGCTTTTTAGATGCTATCTGAAATTTGGCAAGAAATAAAAATAATCTTAATATTTTGGCTGACTTTGTATATAAAGAATACAATGAATTTTGAATAATCTGTTTCTTTATTTGATTAGAAGGAAGGCATACTTTATTTTGATTAGAGAAGAGAGATTTTTCTTTTAACTTTTCTCAAAGTCGCTAATTCACGCATGGTTGAGCTGTTGTTACTTGCATATCAAAAAAGGTGCAGTCATTTGGAACATAATTTGTAGATATAATAGGCTTGGTCATTTAATTGTCAGTTGGAGTGTTGCCCAGTACTTTAAGCTTTATTGCTTTAGGAAAGGACTTGAGGAAGTACATTAAAATATTCCAGTCTATTAATGTACAGTCATGTTAACAATGATTATGCTTATCAGGTGGCAAAGTTGGGTCTCACTTTGCAAGCTATATGGATTAGATTGTTATTTTTTGGACATGAAGGGTATTAAGTACATCAACCATTTAATGTGATATTAGATTTAAATTTTACTACCTGATTGAATTTGTTTATTATACAGAGGAGTTGAACCTTATGCTGCAAGGTCAAGGAAATACAATTAGACTCCAGAGGAGGCAGCTTTTAAATTTGATTTAAGATTTTGTATTTTCCTTTTATATACACAGACATGCACATCAGCATGTTTCAAATGACGTGTTACATGATTCACATAAATAGCTGACCAATTCCTTCTTAAAAAGTATTATTTGCAATAGTTTGCTAAATTTCACTATTACTGCTTTTTATTTTATTTATTTATTTTTTTGTGAAGGATACAGCCAGCTTTTGCCTAGCATTGAGACTCAAGTATAGTTTACTCTTGAGGAAACTTTCACTAAGGGTTTCTTTCTAAAACCTTTCTTCTTCTTGAGCTTATGTACCGTAAGTTTTCTTCAAGTGTCAATTATACCCGCATCTTAGATATTCTTTCTTGTTATACTCTTCATACGCGACTTTGCCACTTATGACATAGATATCTTTTTATATATAAAGTG